CTCTCTCTCTCTCTCTCTCTCTCTCAGTCAACGAGACAATGGAGAAGAGAAAGATTTTAGCTCGCAAATAGTGTTAAACAGGACTGTTTTCCACTGTACAATATACACTCTATATATATTTATTTATAATTTTTTCCAACTGCATTTATCAATCTTCTTAATGAAATAAGCCCTTCTTTTGTCTCATTATCGTGACGATAATCATTATCAAGATAATAAATGCATGTATTCGCAGCTACTTAATTGTTGCATTCGTTGTTCACAATCGTGTCATCTTATGATTGCTCTATAATTATCTCAATTATATTCATAATTGGTATTTGCTTTATTGATAGATAAATTGAAATTAATTTAATATTGATCAAGTCTCTTTTAGTTACCTAAAGCTTAGAATCAGCTACATCGATATAAATGGTGAGTAAGCAGGTCATTAGATAGATGTCGTGACGATGTTCGTGACAATTGTCATGTATAGTGTTAGCAAATTCGCGAAAAAAACGAAATAGATACCACTAAAATCATTCAAAATGATCGTTTTAAGGATGAAGCATTTTAATTTCTTGTGCTTAGGAATTATAAATTCTTCAGTTTGCACTGAGAAATTACACAATATCACGAATAATTTTTCGTTACTTTTTTTGCATTTTTGTGCATTTTTACTGTGTTCATTTTAAATGTTTATTCTCTTTAGAGTGAATTGTCTGCACTCCTCCAGATGGCACTCCTTCAAGTTCTATTCGCGAATAAATAAAAGGCGCGTTCGAGGAATATGCCGGCAGCGCTATCGCACCATTATATTTTTTTCCTTGTCTTGCGTCATTATATTTTTTTCTTATCTTACGTCTAATGAAAGATAAAGACAGTATGACGTGATAGCGCTGACAGCGCGCTTCCCGAACGCGTCTCTAGGCGTCGTAGGCTCGTAGTTTCATCTCCAATTAACTTTTCGAAACGGCGCAGTGAAGACATAAGTGAAGTAAACGACTCGTCAATTTGAAAACAATGGAGCAAGTTACAGGTCAGTGTGTCGATTATTATCAACTTTATTCTCTTGTGTGACACTAATATTTATTTGGAATTCATTAACGAAAAATTGAAATAAATATCTGACATATGTATAATAATTGTATATAATGTATTGTATATAGTTGATTCATCATTTAATTTTATCATACTTCAAAAGTTTAAAATATTGTGCGATTAACGATATTTTCGCGGTCCTGCAATTTTCAATACTTTCAGCACTTTATTAATTACATAATGTTTAAATAATTAACATATAGAAAATTGACGTGAATACTTTTCAGGAAAAAACATACAAAATAATGGCAACAGTAATATATGTTTAAGAAGATTTACGTATTTCATAACATGACGTGGCACACTAGCGGCTATACTAACATTGAAAACGCGTATAAGAAAATTCAAATATTTATATTAGTAAAAAGTAACATGCCTAAAAATAACAATATGTAAAACTTTTTTGCAATTTTGCTTACATAATAAGAATTTCATTTAATTTCTCGAAGAATGAAGAAATAAATTACCTTTTTTTAACACAATGATTTCACCGCAAGTACACTTGTACGCGTTGTGTTACGCAAGTATACAATTACACGTTGTGTCACGTCTTTATCTATTGTAATTGTAAGCATAACATACTACATACATATAATACTTAAATACTTAAGGCAATGCTAGAATAATGACTGAATTTCATGGCGTCACATTTTAACGATTTGTACATATATACATATGTTGTATAACATATGTATGTTTGCGACATTGATGTAGTATATAAAGGTTTGCATCTAACGTGTTGATATTTAATTACTATTACATGAATGTCGCCCGCATACATACAACGATTAATTTTCATCTTACTCGCTTATACTAAAGCATTCAAACTCATTAAAAGCACTGCAGTATTATTCTTTCATGCAATTCCGCAAACCAAGGTTGTTTTACGTACAAAGTTTAAAACTTTTATACGCATCAGGACATGTCACGAGTGCAGAAGTTAATAACTTTTTAATTTTGTTTCGTTTTTTATATGAAATTTTTACCGTCCGTTATTGTCTAGACTTTAATTCTAGAAAAGAGTTTATAATTTTGTGAAATCAATAAAAAGATCGGTGGATTTAGAAATAATTGCGTTTAATCGGTAAAATGAATCTACCTTCAAAATCATCTTAAACAACTTACTATATAAGTGAATAGTAAAGCAACTTTAATTGTGCATTTTATTTTGTTGTTTTCATCTTCCTGATGTTAAATATTAATTTTAACATATCAGAGTTATACATATAATTTCGAAGTAATATTTTTTGTAATCAGATATATCTATACATATACATATATTTAATATTTATCTGTATACATACAACGTATGCTATTATGATATGTTCTATCAAAATTAATTCTCTTTAATCTATTTTAACTGATTATGGATATGTCGCAGGCAAATGGTCATTTTAGGAAAATAGCTTTTGACTTATAGACAAATGCTATTTGCCTGGTCAAACGGCATACACTTTGCAACGTGAATCGCGAGGTTCCACGTGGGTTTGCAACTTTTTACGCGAAACGAGGTTCACCCCACACCAAAAAATTGTTTCTGTTAAGTTAGTTTGAAGGTGGAAATAGGGCGGAACATATTGCCTCCACGCGTGTACTTTGCAACGCAAAGCAGAAAATCTATTTGATCAGGCATTAGTCAAAAGCTATTTTCCTAAAATTATCATTTGCCTGCGACAGATATATTATTTTAAATATAGAAAGACAATAGTAGCCGCTTTTTTCGGTTTGTCAGCAAATAGAATAATTTCGGAGAGCAGCAACGCGCGTCATATTCCCTCCTAGAATTTTCGGGGAAATCGTACATAAATACTTCCGAGCATGAAGTTCCGCCGCTCTCTTTTAGAGAAGGAAAGTCGCAAATGAATCCACGTAAAATCTTTAACCATACAGAAGAAGTTACAGTTCCTTTAAATCCGTCGCTATAGCGGACAGTGGAAAATCAAAACTGGATCGACAAAGTCCATCCTGCAAAATCTTGATATGAATGTTGCTTGAAATCTTATCGCGCATCTTATCGCTTTCAAGTAGCTTGCTATCTCGATGTCGCGCGCTTTGCGTAATTCCATCGTTTGTACAATGGGATAAATCAAACTCTGAAAACTTTGTATAATTGACGAAGTGTGTGATTTAACAGAGTACAATTTCTTGTTCTAAAAGTTCTTTTTCTTATCAAGTCGGTTACTGCACGTTCATTCATGAAATATTTGTTTAATGGCGTACATATTTGATTCTAATTGTAAAAACAACGCAAAAAAATTTTTGAGAAAACTCATCAAGGCGAAATATGTACTGTATTGATTTCAATCACGAACACGTGCGCAATCGCGATACGCCAGACGAGTCGTAAATTTCTTGTAAATATTTACAGTTCGATTAAGTTCGACGAGATCTCACTACAGAAACGTATGCTATTGACAGAATGAGAAAAGGGGATTTCTATTACGCTTTTAATTAAAACAGTCTTCTTAAGCATACAGTAATTGCGTACATCTTGAATATCGATGAATACAAAAAAAGACAATAAGATAGGCGAAAAATATGAGACAAAACGTATGGTAAAGGAAAGGCTCGAAAGGCCAGAATGAATGAATGAAGTAGGCTGGAAAAAGAAAAAAAGATAAATGTGATAAATCTTGCATCGAGTAGTAAATTGTCATAAAGAATGCGTTCGCGTTTCGGAACACGGCGGGAAGAACAATGATTTGTTGGGGAAATTCTCTAATTTCAATTCTAATTTCAGAAGTGAATACCGTAGAGGCACCATCGTGGCTGAATCAATGCTTCGTGGAAAAGATTCTGCGAAATTCGGAGGATGACAATTCGATTCAAGTGATCAATATGTTCTCAAAACCGGCCACGAGTAAGGGTGACAACTACACCAGCGACATAATGAGGATTACTATCGAATTTTCACGTGACCAAGACGGCCGTAAGATTACAGAGAAGAAATCAATTATCGTCAAACTCTTGCGTGCATTTGAAAGTATTTGGGACAATTCTGATGTAAGTTGATTTAACTTATACAATATTTCTTATATAGAAGAAAGAAAAAAGAAGAGGGAAAGAAAGAGAAAGTGTCAGATATCAAACTGTGATTTTATTATATTTGGTATAAATTTCTATTTATCAAAAAGATTAGTATAGGTATTTGTGAATGATTAAAAATTTTTAATATTAACATAAATTATTCTTATGAATTAAGTTTAAAGAAGCAAATAAATTTCAAGAAAATGTTCTCTAGTCGTTTTAAAAAACGGACTTTAATTGTGAACAAAATTATTATTTACTTGTTATCCGTTAAGCCGAAACTTTTCATTATAAAAAAGCTCTATTTAATCCTTCATATCACAATTAAATAAACTTGTTACAGTCCGGACCATTAAGTCTCTTTGATACAGAGATATTGATGATGTCAGATACCTTGAAAAAAATGAATAAATTGTTATGGCCGAAGCACCGTTTAAGCGGAAAAGGTCTATACATGCAAAATAAAAATCCAATAATTCTGGTGATGGAGGATCTAGCACCTCTTGGCTTTCGCATGGCCGATCGTAGGTCTGGTCTTGACTTAGCTCATTCCATATTAGCGCTACGAGGACTAGCCAGATTTCATGCAGCCTCTGTAGCCGTATGCGAAAAGGTAAATCGTCACGTGTGTGACTCGATCGTAATATCTTATTGCAATTAATTAGAAAAATTTTAATTGATAGAAATCAGGCTCCCAAGAAAAAAATCAGAAATGACATAGTAATGCCGATAGAGTGAGCCAACAAGGATGTTAGTGTGTGTAATAATTTTATTGTTGCAGCCACACGCAATTGCGCGCCACGCTTTTTTTGTCGGTCTTAAAACACAGCTTCTTTACAGCCGGAATCCACTCTAACGAATTAAATTGAACGAACAATTTAATAGTATTAAGTTGCTCGTTCAATTTAATTCGTTCCAGTGGAATTCCGGCATGTAAAGGACAGTGTTTTAAGACCGACAAAAAAAAGTGTGGCGCAGTTTGCGTGGATATTGTGAAAAAGTCGAGTTTTCTTACTAAATGAATAATGTGGTACAATCTTTAATAATAATTTTTAACAACAATTTAAATAAATTATCATTCTTTTTGTGAAAGACATTTTTTAAATTGTTTTCTTGGCTATAGCATTTATCTATATGACATTCTATATTGCCGCAGTACAAGCTAATTTTTAGTAATCGCTTAACTTTATATTTAATCAAATGGCGTACTTAATAAAAATATCCTTTAATAAAAACATTTTAAAATTTTAGGAACCAAAACAAAAGAAGATGTATACAAAGGGATTGTTTAGCAATGAGTACCCACCAGAAATGAGAGAGTTTTGGATTAAAGGTACTAAAGTTTTATCAGAGGAGATTGCAAATTGGTCAGAAGTGAAAAAGTAAGTTTTGCATACATAGCATAAACAGCAGTATTTAATATTCTACTTTGTTCAAGACAACATTTTGTGCGACAAAAGATAAATGTTTAATATTAAAAAACCGAAAACATATGTTAAGCAAAATGCAGCAAATATAAATATAAATTGCACGTTTAGAGCAAAGAACCTCGTACGATTTAAGTAAAAAAAAAAAACGTTTTTAATCATCAACCAATTGCTTAAATATTTTATATTTTATATAATTCTTGCATCTCTGATTAAAATCTTAATTCACAGAACATTTCGACGTCCAGCTTTGAATTAAAAATATGTGAAATCTTTTTCGTGAGATCTGTTTGTTTGTGTGTTTGTTTGCTTGTGTGTGTGTGTGTGTGTGTGTATATATGTCAGCAGAGATAAAGATCCCATGGTTCGTCACTCCCGTAGTATTTAATGACTTCAAACTCTCTCTCTGCTGTGTGCGTGTATGCGCGCACGCCTATATTTCATGAAGATGTTATCAAATAAGGTAACAACTGTTACAATGATAATATTTACATGATTATAATTCTACGATGTGGATCCTTATCTGTACCGACCACACACACACACACACACATAAGCGCGCGCGCGCATACAGAGGCAATCATCGCATTTATACATACCGATATACATATATAGACTGCACACATGTGCAAACTCGAATAAGCAAACATACAAACAGACTTCGTGAAAGAAACTTTCAAATATTTTTAATTCAAAAACTATAAACATAGAAATGTTCTGTAAATTGAGATTTTTTTATCAAGGATGCAAGAACTACATATATAAAATTCAGATATATTGACTGAAAACGTTTTCATTATATAAATCGTGCGGATTTCTTTTTATATTTTTATGTTTTTAACTAATTTTTATACAAATTTACACTTATGATTTGTATTGCTAGATACTCGGAAAAGATTGCTAAACTTTCCGATCACATATATCAAGTAGGATTAAATGCAACCGAGCTCTCTGAAGATGAATTTAATGTTATTAATCACGGAGATTATCACTTGAACAATATGTTATTCAAATATGACAAGGATGGCAAACCTATTGATCACATAATCGTAAGTACCATAAAAAAAATTTAATGTTTCCCGTAAACACGAGTAATAATTAATTTATTATATGATTGCCTTATTTGCAACCAAGAATTAAGATTAACAAAAATGCGATAGTGTAAGGCTCAATAATTAATGAATTAGAATAATAAAATAAAAGATTTTAAGCTTATTGTTAGATAGGATATGTTTAGTGCTCCATACAAAACTTAGTCAAAAATTAGTCAAATGTAAATGGATATTTTGACCTCTATTAATTAAGTTATTAAATCAATGCTAGAAAATAGTAATAAACTTGAAATAAAGTACAACAATTAGACGTCTATTATACAGCAAATGAATATATATTTTAAACTTTTTTTTACGGACAATAAAAATCCTTGCTGTTACACTAAAATGTAAAATTTGTTTGTGTTAAAATGTAATTTTATAATATACATGAAAGAGCATAATATTATATGCTTTCATGTGTCTCATACATTAATACAATAAATCCAGATCGCTTTTAAAAATATCCGCCTGTTTCGTATAAGCTCTCAATTTTCCCACCGCGACTTCCTGAACACACTTCTTTCCCGCGCGGTGTACAGAATTCATTTTGAATTCAATGCCGGAGATTTAAGAGACCGCTCAATCAAAAAAGTTTGTTTGATATTACAGGTGGACTTCCAGTTATGCGTCTACACATCGCCGGCAATTGATCTTCTCTACTTTTTCAGTACAAGTCCTTCCTCAGATGTCATTGAAAACAAAAAAGATATTCTATTAAACGAATATCTTGTCTCCTTGTCGTCGATTATGAAACAACTGAACTGCAAAACGCAGCCGCCCACGATGGAGGTACTGAAAGATACCTTAAAGCGAAGAGCAAGCTATGAAATGATAACAACCATGACGATTTTACCAATAACGATGATGTGCCGTAAGGCTGAGGTGAAAGATTTGCGTGAGGTCATGGGCACCGGAAATCCTGGCTTAAAAAACGAGGATTATAAAAAAGTAATAATAAAGAGACTTCCACTATATGATGAAAGAGGTCTTCTGGATCTCTAATGCATACTTGATTATTAATAATGAGATATAAAAATGAGGTATAACGAAATAGAAATTTGAAAAATAAATAAAAATATAGACAAAAGTCGCTAATACTGCCATAGGTCTTCTAAAGAGACCTACGTATTTCTCAGAAATTAAATTTTATACTTATTAATACTGATACATGAACTTTAAATAATTAAAAAAAACAAAGTCCATAATTTGTATATTTGTAATATGTTTTGTACATAAAATTAGCTAAAAACATATTTTATAAATTTTAAAATGCAAAAATAATACTCCCTTTCTATTTTCTTTTGCAACTTGTGTAGTTTAAATAATTAAAATTTAAATATTGGACATATTATTATTATTTAATTGTTTTATATGTTTGTAATTTTCTATAAATATTTCATTTATGTTTTTTTATTATTCTTTTCTTTTCATTTTTGCTGGTTTTGAGAGTTATCCGCTCATTTTTACTTATATTACGAAAATATTAGAAATGGCCATATTTTCTTATAGCAGACACTTTTAGTTTATATTTGTTTTCAAAGCTTTATTTTCGTTTTCTGTTTATAAAATATAATTAAAAAACAAATGAGTACGACAGCAATCTTCCTAAACATAAATAATAATTATAGCAACACATTAAAATTAATAAGAATAGACGTTCAATATTAATATACTTTTTTCAAAAAGAAGCGCAACTTATATGTATGTATTTTTATGAATAAATATGTATTAGAAATTACTGTGACAGATCTCTTAATTCAAAAAGTTAATAAACTTATTTTTTTCTCTTTCTAATATACATAGTATTTTAATATTTGATTCATTAAAATTTTAAAAGAAATCTGCTTTACATTACATCAATGTATTCGAAAGAACAATACATATAAATGAAAATTGTCTTGTTGTGTAGCTGTTAATTATCAGCATAAGTTACAGCAAAAATTATGTTATTAAAAGCGATATATCTAATATTATTCTATGACAATTAATATTAATAATTTAATACAAATGTATAAATTAATTAAGATACAGAGAGAGGTAGAGAAAAAGAGAGACACAGAGAATTTTATATTATATATGATCATAGAATACTCGTGTCTCGTATAAAAAAAATCAAAAAATTGATCAAATGAAATTATAAAGAAAATTATTTGTAGTTTTTAATGTTTTTTATTACAGTATGCACATAAAAATTGTGTGTTTATTTCTTGTTTATAAGTTATTTGTTGTATATTTGTTTCTTACATTTCAATGTTTAAACATCAATTATTAAATGTTAAAACTTTATACTATAATACTATATAGAAAGAAAGTTAAAAAGAAATAAACAATAATATTATGTAATAAATCAGCAACATATGAATAATAAAACAAATTATTAAATATGATTTACATATTTTAATGTTATCTTTTTTCCAATAAAACAGTATAATACACGATACGCGTGTTTATACAATGTTAATAAAACATGTGTACTGTGTGCATGGAATTATACACAATTCAAAAAATTTGTTTAATGATGTAAAAACTTTATAATGCTAATCTTGGCAGTATTACATATTCACAGAGATATAGCGGAGGCTGTGAAGGATGATAAATATATGGTTGATAAATTATTAAATGAATTTATTAGTAAAAATAGTTATAGAGCATTCACGTTTTAATTGTAAAAATTTTATCAACTACTGGTGGAGTGGCAGAGGGGGGGAAAATTTTTTCCACAAAAATTTCCACACCCAGAGCCGAGACAAATCGCCGGGACTGTATAACACAATTAAATTGAGAGAATATGTATGTAAAATTCACATAGAAATATTAGGAGCATCAAGATCCTGCATGCTATGACCGTGCGGCCAGCCTTCTCTCAATTTAATTGTGTAACAAATAATGAATTGTCTCTGTAAATCGCCGCAGTTATTGGTGAGTAAAATAATACAAAATAATAAATAATAAAATAAAACAATAATAATACAATAAAGCATACGATATACGTACTTGTTGAACAATTTTACGTAGATCAACGCAAACGTTTTGTAAAACTCGGATTTGAAACGTTAACGATCTATATACGTAAAATTTTTCAGCAAGTACATCTTATGTTTTGTTGTAACTGTTAATTATCTTACACATAAAACTGCGGCGGATTAACGAAAATTTATTATTTACTATTTATTGATTAACTCTTGCAGCTATAAAATTTGTAATTGTTTTTTTTTATTATGCTAGCTTTAACTTAAAAATGAAATCTAACCAAATCATTTCATGCTGAATCATCTTCCAAAAAAAAAATTTATTGTAATAAATTTCCATCAAATATTAAATTTAATGCGGATATAAGAACAGTTAAATATTATTTTTAAGTTAAAAACTGTAACTTGAGTTTATAACATGTATTATTATTCTCAATTTAAAAAAGATATCAAAATTGCATTTAAATCAATGAAATGAACTTTTAAGCCCGTGTTAGACTATGCATTATGGATGCGGATTAGATTCGATTTACAATAACAAATTATTGACCAGCCATTAAGAACACATTTTAACTGCTGTGACTATATCTTAGCTACGCTGACTATAATAGTCCTTTTTTTGCGTGTGGCCGCTCATGATCGACCTGCAGGACCAGGCGAACAAGTGGATGAAGAATATGAATAAGAACGCGTCGAATTCGTTGTCTGACTGACTCCTTGTCAGTCTGACTACTATCAGAATTCTTCCTGGAGAACGCCGTACAATTCGGGCAGCTGCTACTGGAAAACATCGACGAAAAGCTGGACTCTGAAGCCATTGCTGATAAAGCAGATCTTCAAATCCGGCGGTGCGCTCATAATCAAGATCGGCGCGGTGCATCAAGATTAGTGACAGCATCATCAAGTATTCCGATAAGTTTCGGTGAGAGTTATAATCTACCTTTGTTCTAATATATTAACTTTGTTCATACTAACATTTATTTTATATTTTCTGCCACACGCACCCTTAGATTGCATTCCGTTGTTTACTGCAAGTGCAGAAAATCTACAGTTAATGTTTCGTACACTATAGATTTTCATTACGCAGTAAATAGCGAAATGCAATTAATTCGTATTCATTCACGAGTATTATCATCAGCTGTCAAACTGTTAATGTCAAACTTGCCGCGAAACGTTTGATAACATTGGATGCAACATTCTTTGCAAAAATTAAAATTTAATAATGAAATTCAATATTGTTAATTTTTATTTTCAAAAAGAATTTATTTTTCAAAATTAAAGAAAAAAATAGGCAAAACAAATAATTAAAATTCATAAAAAACCGAAACATTGCAAAAGAAATTTAGAAAATTAAATACAACACATTAATCAATAAAACATATTTTTCTCTCTATTTCTTCCTTTTTGTCATTTTATAAGGATTGAAAAAGAACTGAAAAGAAATTTCTTGAAGTAATATAAATTGAGTTTGCTTTTTTTAATTATATAATACAATTTTTCTGTACTTGTTGAAATTTTTTAATAAACATAAATTTTAAGGAAATAATTTTGAAAAGGGAATTTTTGAGAGCAATCTATTGCAAAGGGCAGATATCAATGGATCCCATGTCTTGTCTGCTATTGGCAATATCGTTCGATATAACGGCGGCCAGAATTCATTTATAAAAGCTACGACAAGATTATCTAAAAATAAAAATTGATACATAACAATATAATTTGAAGGAACTTATATAAGTACTAATATAACTAATATAAGGAACTAATATAAGTAATATAAGTTTATAATAGAAATTGTAATTATAATTTATATATTTTTGTAAATAATTATGCAAATAATTGCTTTTTGTAATCTTTGTAATGTTTAAAAAAATAATAAGCAGAATAAATAAAAACATTAAAATAAAATATAATAAAATATTTTAATTTGTAAAGTAATAATTAACACTTCTAGCTCCCTACTTTTAGCTTCCTACTCTTTTTTTAAGTTAATAATTGACTTGATGTTATTATATATTCATAA